CTGGTCACCTTCACGTTTGCCCCAGGCCCTTTCGGCGCCCGCTGTGGCAGCCCGGGGCGTGACGCTTCCTTAAATCAGGGCCGATGGTGAACACCGATGGTCGCTCCAGGTGGAAGGTGCCGGGCGTGGGGGACGTCTGGTCCCAGCCCGCGGATTCTCCGTCGCGAGTCGCCCCGTGGTGCGGGGCGCGCTGCTGTGCTACTCTGAGCCGGAGGCTGAACGGACCCAGGAGCAGTTCTGCGGAACGGGCTGGGCGGGCAGCCGTCTGCTCACGGGGAGGTGGTTGTCACTAAGCGGGGAAGAGCCCCCTCCTCGCCTCCGTTCTGTTCTCTAAACTGCACCGAAGCCGCCCAACTCTCCTGGAGATTCAGTTTGGAAATTCCACCTGGGACGAATGCTGTTGGGGTGGCTCTTTTCCTGGTCTGATTAGAACGTCAGTATCACAGGGAAGTGTTGGGTGTCTAGATTTGTTGCCTGAACATCTTTCCCTCAATAGGAACAGGTCTGGGGAATCTCAGATGTGACTCTTTAAGTCTCATGCTCTGGTTTAAATGAAGACAAAGTGTGTGTGTTTTTGTTATTCTGGATAACTTGCCACAAGTTTATGTTATGAGTGAAAGATACGCCTTGAGGTACTGGGTGCCCTGAGGAAATAACCTCTGAAGTGACTTTACAGTCTTAACATCAGGATAGCTCAGTATTCATCCTCTTCAAAGTAAGGGACTTGCTTTTTGGCGGGGGGTGGGGAGGGGTGGAGGCTGGGAGAAGGGAGAGACAGAGGGAAAGGAAGGGAGAGAGGGAGAGAAACAGCAATTTGTTGTTCAACTGACTTATGCATTCATTGGTTGATACCTGTATGTGCCCTGACCTGGGATCTAAATGGAAACCTTGCCTATCAGGATGATGCTCTAATCAACTGAGCTACCTGGCCAGGGCTCTTAAAATAAAATAAAATAAATTCTTTATTGATTTTTAGGGAGGGAGAGAGAAACATCAATTTGTTCCACTTATTTATGCATTCATTGGTTGATTCTTGTGTGTGCCCTGACCCGGGATGGAACTTGAAACCTTGGCACATCTGATGATGCTCTGACCAACTGAGCTACCCAGCCAGGACCAAGGGGCTTTCTCAGTTGAGGTACTTAAACTCAGGGATGCTTGGAGGAGAGTGTTTTGTTTGAGATAAAATGCACTGTTTTTAACCAACTTAAAGCATACAAATCAGTGCATTTTAGTATATCCACAGTGTTGTGAAACCATCACTGCTAATCCAGAACATTTTCATCACACCCCAAAAGAAACCTAGGGGTCCATTAAAAAGTCACTCATTCTTCCTCCGCCAGCAACCACCAATCCAGTTCTGTCTTTATGGATTTGCCTATTCTGGGCATTGCATATAAATCGAAGCTTACAGTATGTGGCCTTTTGCTTTTTGGTTCCTTTTCACTTAGCATAATGTTTTCAAGTTCGTCCATGGTGGAACTTGTATTCCTTTTTATGACTTAATATGCCATTAGATGGATATACCACATTTTGTTTATCAGTTCATCAATTGATGGACATTTGAATTATTCCTATTTTTTGATTGTTAGGAACAACGCTGCTATGAATACTTGTGAACAACTTTTTATGCAGACGTGACTTTCAGTTTTCTTAAGTGTATACCTAAGAGTAGAATTGCAGCATCATATGGTAACTAACTCTGAGAAATTGCCAAACTCCTTCCCAAAGTGGCTGTACCATTTTACATTCCCACAAGCAATGTATGAAGATGCCCTTGTTATTTCCTGGGTGTTTTTGTTGTTGACACTAGCATCTTGATGGGTATGAAGTGGTATTTCATTGTGGTTCTGATGTGCATTTCCTTAATGACTAATGAATGAAGCTGCGCATCTTCTCGTGTGCTAGTGGTTTTGCCATTTGTATATTTTTTGAGAAATGTCTTTTCAGCCCTTTCCCCACTTTGAGGCACTTGATTTTAATGCCTTATAGTGTAGGATTTGGCACTAGATTAGAAGATAAATTTGAATGTGTTTATGGGTGGGTATAAAAGGAATATATGATTTTTGCATAAGGAAAACAAGTGAATGCCAAGGTAAATTAGATGAGAAGCTGCTCTATCTAAGGCACCTTAAAGTATGTGAGCAGGAAAGGCACCAGAGGGCTCACTTTTACTGGTTTCAGGACTGCAGGAACAGAACAATTGAGGAATACCAAAACGGCCTGCTTGACGTTGTTTCAGACTTAGAGTGGATGTACCTTACGATTGTAGTTTGTAGTGCTTGAGAGCCAAAACTGGCTACAAAGGGCCTGGGAATCCGTTAATTCTCAGAGTTCTTCTCAGGGTCTGCTCAAAAAAGGATTTCTATTCTAATCAAGAAGTAAAACCTCTTGTTTGGTACATTTTTAAAACGAAATTCTCACTCTAGGAACATAAACTAATTTTAATTTCAACATTTTTATCAGTATTAGAATCATATGAAAAATTTAAACCATCATAATAAAAAATATTGCTTTGCTTTGAACTAAAACATCTTGGTGTTATGCTCCCAAGATGAGCTTGCAATTTTTTTGTCTTAGTAATATGAGCTTGGGGTCGTGAGCATGGACAGGAGATGGCACAGTTGGACTTTTTATACTGTTATCAGTTACAGATGGTGAAGCAAGGGCATCTGAGTTAAATGAGATAATACAAGAGTTGGATAAAAGAAAGCATTCATATTTGTCACTGCATTTTTTATAAGACTTGAGAAACATTAGGACTCCTAAACTCTACTTTAGATATTATACTGAGTTATTTAACGATGTTTATATTGAGCTTTTTGTATGTCCTCAGGATATAATGTAAGCATCCTCCTATCAAATTGCTAGTATCAGCCAGAATGTAAAATTATTTTAAGAAAAACAAATTCCTTATTTGTAATGTGTCAGAGGATAATTGGGAAAATATTTTTTAAGCCCATTAATTTTCTAACAGTGTCTTAACTCTCAAACTTAAAAAATGGTTGCCTCTATCTTTAGAAAGTAGAAGTAGACTTCAGTAAGCGAGGTACTGGCATGAGGAAAGAACAGGTGGCTTTTCTAATGATCAGGAGTATGTTGGATTGTTTGCCCAGGCTTTTTTCTCTCTATTGTGCAACCAAGTCCCAGACTTTCGATCATAAATATAAGCCTGGAGCTTCAGAACAAGACTTTTTCTTAAAAGCAGAGATACATTTTCTTTATCTTTTGTCTTAAAAATTCAAACTTTTTTAGGTGTAATATTTAGGTATTTGGTGAAGGAATATCGGCGAAGAACAATTCCTGATAGAGTTAGATGACCTCAGTCCAGTTACTAGAGCGTTTCACCACTCATCATGTATTCCCTCATCCTTTTACTTTAATATCTTTAAAATTCCAAATTTTAAAATTCCTGATGACTAGGACTGCATGTTATAAGGGAATCTATGAACTCATTTTCTATTTAAAAAAATGATTTCTTCATCTCAATTTAAATCACAGAAGTATCTTGTAAATATAATGTTCTACAACAGCCCTAGCCAGTTTGGCTCAGAGAATGGAGCGCTGGCCTGCGGACTGAAGGTTCCCGGGTTTGGTTCCGATCAAGGGCACATGCCTGGGTTGTGGGCTCGATCTCCAGAAGGGGGCGTACAGGTGGCAGTCGATCAATGAACCTTTCTCACCGTCGATGTTTCTGTCTCTCTCTTCCTCTGAAATCAATAAAAATATATTTTAAGAAAATGTTCAACAAAGGCAGATAACAGTTTACCAAACTGGAAAATTTAGGCTTGATTACCTATTGTTATTGCAAGATTGTTAAGTTTTCATTTTTTATTTAAAATAGGCTGGAGGAAAGAATTCAAGTTACTACCCAACCTGAGAAAATTTAAATGAATGTCCCTAATCCTTAGCTCTTACTTCAGAAAACTGAAAAGGCATAATACCAAGTTTTATCTTATCATAACTGATAACTTATCTTTTACTTTAACACAGCTACAGAAAGATCTTGAAGAGGTGAAGGTGCTGCTGGAAAAAGCCACTAGAAAGAGAGTACGTGATGCTCTTATAGCTGAAAAATCCAAGATTGAGACCGAAGTCAAGAACAAGATGCAGCAGAAATCACCAAGGAAAGCAGAACCTGACAGTGAAAAGCCAGCAGCAGTGGTTGCTCCCATTACAACGGGATATACAGTGAAAATCAGTAATTATGGTATGACGCGCTCCCCTACATCCAGCTTTTTTTTTCCTGTGAGCAACCGAGTCCTCAGTAGTGACCAACTAACATAACAAACTTAATTTAAAAAATAGTTTTGAGTGTTTGTTTTGGTGGTTTGAATACATACATCACTTATTTAATAAGATGCTTTTTAAGATATGAAAAAGGATAGGCTAAGGATACATTCTAGAAGCTATTACCAGAGCAAGTTGATTTAGTACAATGATGAATAGCAACAAGAAAGAACCTACTTGATATATATGGAACAGAGCTTTTTGTTTTGATTTTCATCCTGTTTTGCATTTCATTTTGCCAAACAACCACTAATATTAATTGAGGAAAGAAATCTAGTTAAAATTAAGAAACATTTTTGAGTACCTATGTGCCACTGTTGTGCTTGGATTGTGGACATGTTATTGGTGGGGGGCAATCCTTGTCCCTACTGGTTTTTGGTGGGAGTAGGCTTGCAATGACCTGAGAAAAAGAATTTTCTGATACTCGCACTGGAGGGTAAGATACTGTAGAAAACTTTATTTCTGTGGAATTATATACCTGAGTTTCCAGGGTCCCATTTCCCTTTGTCCTGCCATAGCAGTATAGCTATGGCTTCAGCAGAGCTTGGATCAAAGCTGTTTCCTAGAGTTTTCATTTCATGTTGGAGCAGTGTCAAGTCCAGTATTGAGCTAGGTTGGCTTGTGTTTCCAGTTGCAGTCCATCAGTCTATTGTGTGTAGGGTCTGCAGGGCCATGTGGCTGTGGAGGGAACGTGGGCAAATGCAGGAGAGCCCAGTGAGCCTAGAGCACCAAGAGAACAAGCCCCTTTGTTTGGGGGCAAGCTCCTTTGGGGGATTATGTATTCCCAAATTTTCATGAGCTTGCATAGGCCATGCCCTCTATAGCCAATCCATGGTTCCCAGGTTAGATCAGCAGGCAAGTACCTTCTCTAGGTCACCCCAACTTTTCTGCACATCTCCCCTTTGTTAGACCCCCTTCCTCCAGTGTTTTGCAGGGAATGGGCCAGTAGTTGGCTGGGGAATGTGAAAGTGCAGCTTGTTGGTGAAGCTGCTTAAAATGGCCATGCTAATCATGTCTGGCCTTCCCTTTGTTCTTTGTTCCGTTCTTATTGTTAATAACTAGAGGCCCCGTGCATGGAAGTTTATGCATTGGAGGGGGCGATCCCGCAGCCCGGTCTGTCCCCTCTCACAGTCCGGGAGCCCTCAGGGGTGGGAGGTGACCCATCACACCTCTGCTGCTGCCACTGCCGGCAGCCCAAGCCTCAGCTGGCCCTGGGCGGCTGTGGGGGTGAGGGGACTGGGGGACTCTGGAGGCCTTGCCATGCACCTGCCGCTCTGGTGGTACTGAGGGGACTGGGCACCGCCATCTTGTGGCTGTGGGCGTCACCATCTTTGAGGGTGTGGCAGTCAATTAGCATATCCCCTCATTGGTTGTGGGCGCCTCTATCTTTGTGATGGTGTGAGGGTCAATTAGCATATTCCCTCTTTATTAGATAGGACTAGCTGATTATAATGATATCAGAAGTACAACAATGACGAAGACCCAGGCCCTGCTTATGGTACTTGGGACATAGATAAAACTAATACCACAAAAATCTAAGAATACCATTTGTCCTCAGTAGATCATAACTTTTTTTGTTTTGTAAGCAGTATGACTTAAATCTGAGTGGTGAATTATTATGAAGGCAGGGGCAGCCTTAGGTTTCTTTTTGTACATAGTAAGTTCTTAATAAATTTATAAATTATGGGAATGCAGCTGATGAAATGATTCTACTTGTAGAAGAGGCATTTGAGTTTGAAGGGTGCATTCAGCAAGTGTGAAAGAAGAAAGGGAATTTCATGAACAAATGACATGAATAGAGACATTAAAGGCATCAGATCATGTATTTTTAAAAATACATATTTTTTTATTGATTTTGGAGAGGAAAAGAGAGGGAGGGAGAGATAGAAATATCAATGATGAGAGAATCATTGACCAGCTGCCTTCTGCATGCCCCATGCTGGGGATTGAGACTACAACCCAGGCATTTGCCCTGACTGGGAATCAAACCCTGACTTCCTGGGTCATAGGCCGACAACCACTGAACCACACTGGCTGGGCTCAAACCATGTATTTTGAGTATTGTCATAATGAAAAGCAGTGTGTGTCATGCTTAAGAGATGTACTATAGGAGTTAAGCTATGTATTTATACATAGTTATGCTATGTTGATTGATACAGGAAATGGTCTGATGGTGGTAGGATTATGGCACATTAAGGAAGAACCTAGATTTGTGTTTAGGGAGATACTTAATGTGAAGGATGGATTGAAGGAATGGGAAAAGATTAGATGAAGTTCTATAGGACTCTGTAGGACTTTTTAAAAAATTGACACTATTTTATTCTATAGCACAAACTGAGGAAGTGTTAAGGATATATATATAATTGTATACAGTAAACATAATATGCTTTTATGTGATGTTTGTATATTTTTTGTGTTGACAAATCATCTAGATTAGCGGTTCTCAATCTGTGGTTCGCGACCCGTTTGGGGGTCAAACGACCCTTTCACAGGCGTTGCCTAAGACCATCGGAAAATACGTATATAATTACATATTGTTTTTGTGATTAATCACTATGCTTTAATTACGTTCAATTTGTAACAATGAAATTGGGGTCACCACAACATAAGGAACTGTATTAAGGGGCCGCGGCATTAGGAAGGTTGAGAACCACTGATCTAGATTATAATGTCAGTAGTTTGACATATAGTCAAAAACTGAAATGGCATTTAGTAAATGTTAGGTTAGTCAAATTAGCAGATTTGGGTGAATTGGACTATATTTTACTTTGTCAAAGAAGGGAATTGAAGAAGCTATGATTGGTTGTGTTTGTTGAAGTGCTTAGATAAGTAGACATGACTATAGAATTAGACCTGATGTTTAGTAATCCAGTTTAGTGGAGAATACCAATATTTAGGGATAGGACAAAATTATTTCCATAAATAGGGGAAATGAACTACTATTAAATAATATACTAAGTCCCTAGCCTGTTTGGCTCAGTGGATAGAGCTGTCGGCCTGTCAACTGAAGGGTCCCAGGTTCGATTCTGGCCAAGGGCACATACCTCGGTTACAGGCTCCTCCCTAGCCGGGCCCTGGTCAGGGCTTGTACAGGAGGCAGCCAATTGATGTGTATCTCTCACATAGATAATTCTTTTCTGTATTTCCCTCTCTTTCACTTTCTAAAAATTAATGGAAAAGTATCCTCGGATGAGGAGATATATACACATACATACATACATACACACACACACACACACACACACATTTTTTAAGGACCATATTCTTTATTTTGAGGAATAAAAAGAACATGGGCTTTGTGTTTAGTAAACACGGATTTGATTCCAAGTTCTACCACTGGCTGAATGCCTAATATTGGGTAGATTACTTAACTGCTTTGAAGCTCTTCTCCATCTAGAAAAATATTTATATTTTAATTTTTTCATGTTTCTAGTACTAGATTTCCATTTTACTTAGTTTATGATAAGCCATATGCACTTACTGTTTTAGAGATAGTGTCAGGCTTCACTCATGTCTTTTTTGTTGTTTTTGTTACTAGGGTGGGATCAGTCAGATAAGTTTGTGAAAATCTATATTACCTTAACTGGAGTCCAGCAAGTCCCCACGGAGAATGTGCAGGTGCACTTCACAGAGAGGTGAGTTTCCATCATGAGGAAGACAGCTGTGAGGCAGCGATGACTTTGTGATGGCCTCTTTTTTTTATAGTATCTAAAATTCTGCTTAAATTTAGAATCAGTTGTCCTACACATCTGCTTTGAAGGTGTGAATCTTCTTTGGGATGGCCAGATGCTAAACTGTGGCTTATTTCCACAAGAACTAGACAGCACCTTTCATAGAACCAGAAAGATAATGCGTTTGTTATTATGTTGTAGGTCATTTGATCTTTTGGTAAAGAATCTAAATGGGAAGAATTACTCCATGATTGTGAACAATCTCTTGAAACCCATCTCAGTGGAAGGCAGTTCAAAAAAAGTAAGTCTGCTTTTTTTGTCATATTGTGAAATCGCATTAAATTGTACCTGGCCAATATAGAATTGAGATGAAGTAGAATGAATTAATCCTGTATAACAAAAATCAGCAGACTACAGCATGTTGCTTATTTTGTAAGTACAGTTTTGTTTGAACACAGCCACACTTGTTTGTGTGTTGTATGTGTGACTGTTTTTGTGCTATGATGACAGAATTAAGTAGCTACAGCAGATCATGTGGCCCACAAAGCCTAAAATATTTACTCTCTGGTCCTTTATAGAAGAAGTTTGCCAACCCCTGCTCCAGAAAAACAGATTATTATAGGAAGATTGCATTAAATTCTGGAGAGGACTATGCTTTTAAAATGGTTAAGAGTGGGACTTGAGTTTTAATGCCAGTCTTGCCACTTATTGGTTGTGACCTTTTGGCAGGTCACTTAATAACTTCCTGCCCCAGTTTCCTCAGTTGTACTGTGGGAATAATTTATTTCACAAAGCTGAAATTATATACTGAAATGAAATATAAAATGTTTAAATTAATAGTAGCTATTATTAGAAGCTTTATGTGGTTTTGATACATAAAAGGACTTAAGTACTTAGCCTAGTTGGAGTTAGAAGTTATAAAAATAAACTGTCTTGTCCAGCCAGTCTTGCTCAGTGGTTGAGCGAGCGTCAACCTGTGTACCAGGAGTTCACGGTTCGATTCCTGGTCAGGGGACATGCTGGGGTTGTGGGCTTGATTCCCAGTGTGGGGCATGCAGGAGGCAATTGATCAATGATTCCTTTCTTATCATTGATATTTCCATCTCTCTCTCCCTCTCCCTTCCTCTCTGAAATCTATTAAATATGCATTTTAAAAAATAAAAATAAACTATCTTTTCAAAAACTGTTATTCACACTTTTCACTAGTTCAGATAATCCCTCTTTTCTACCTGATTTAAATAAATGAGATTTAATACATCTGGTATATAGATGTCTCATTCTGCCATCTATACATAGAATTATGTAGCTGCTTAAAGGTAATACTGGAATATAATTTATTGATTAACTTGTGTCTCACTCCTCAGTTTTCATCAGCTAATTCCATAGTTGAAGGATACTTAAAAGACTCCTGTCCTAGGAGTTACATGGTTCATTGCTGAAAGAGTTGTGTACTCTTACTTGTCCTGTTTTCCTATTACCTTTCAGACTCAGTGATACTGCCTTATATGATTGGATATCCTGCCTGTCTCTGACCCCTCTTACTATGTTACTCCACGCTTCACCAAAATCCAGCCACTCCTTTTTTCTTTTTATTCAAACACCAAAATCATCCCATTTTGGAGCCCTTATCCTTGCTGTACCAGTTGCTTCGAAGACTCTTTTTCCTGGATCTTGGAGGGTGCTTCCTGATGAAGGTCCTTCCCCAGCTCCCATTAGCACCCTCTTTGTCTTGAGAGCACTTAGTACTCTTAATTTTCCCTGTTGTGGTCTTTCTCGTCCATGATTGTTCAGACTCTGGCCTCTATTCATAAAGGTATTACTAGTTCTTAAAACAGGTCCTACACATTAAAATAATGATTAGTGAATAAATAATTGTCTTCTAAGCATTCATGCTTATCTCCATGTATTCTAGGTCAAGACAGATACAGTCATTATCTTATGTAGAAAGAAAGCAGAAAACACACGGTGGGACTACCTGACTCAAGTTGAAAAAGAGTGCAAAGAGAAAGAGTGAGTTCGCTTTCATTTCCTTAAGAAATTTAATGTATTCTTTGCTGGATTATAAATTTTTAATAGTTTACCTTTATAGGTAACAGAGTTGTATAGTCTATGATTTGACCATTTACCTCTCAGTGTCCACTGACTAACCCAATTATCTTAACTTATGCTCCAACTATCAAAACCTACTGGAAGTGTCCAGCATGTTGCATTTGTTTGGCTCTTTTGTGCTGGTTCTTAACCTTGGACCAATAGTGCTGTTCTAGATACGGTGCCCATTCCCAGAGATTTCATTTTAGTAGTTCCAGAGAGACCCAGATACCCTGTGGTTTTTGAGTTCCATAGAAGTTTCTGGTGATGTAGTTATGGAGTTTCATTGTCACTGATATAGAGTGGAAAAGATAGAATATTTTTATCCAACTTTAATGCTATTCTAAAAAATGTTTATTCAAGGCACTTCCATTTTAGGTCACACATTTCTCTCTATTGGTAATGTACTACATGGAGTGAGTTAGCCATCCACCTTTCTCTCACTCCTCTCTCATAGCCAGCATGCATTTGGTATGTGGTTGACTAGAGTTGGGCACTCTCTGTGGAACTGATTTTTAAATCTAGAGTGAATTACCTGAGTACAGAACCCTATCTTATTGTATATCTCCAATGTCCAGTATATAACCTGGCACTTAATAAATGAGGTGAGTAAAGAATTAATTATGAGTTAATTGGCCCTGACCGGTTTGGCTCAGTAGATAGAGCGTCGGCCAACGGAATGAAGGGTCCCAGGTTCAATTCCAGTCAAGGGCATGTACCTTGGTTGCGGGAGTGGCAGCTGATCAATGTTTCTCTCTCATCGATGTTTCTAACTCTATCCCCTTCCCTTCCTCTCTGTGAAAAATCAATAAAATATATTTAAAAAAAAAAAATAAATAAATAAATAAATAAATAAGAGTTAATTGGCCTAGGTTGAACATTGATTGCTCGAAGGGTATTAACTACATTAAGGACTGTTGGTTTTACTCCCAGGCCCAGGCCCATACCCATATATCTCAGGCTTAAGAGGAGGGATTTTCTAATTAAAAAATATGAACCTCAGTGTGTGTCCATATGTGATGTATGTTTGTGTTTTTCTATCAAAATATTTTTTTTCAAATAATATGAGGAAACATGCTTTAAAAAAATTAAGACAGTTCAGAAAAGTAAATGCTTATTTACTTACTTCTTCTGCTAAAAATTAACTAAAATCTCACTGTCCCAAGAAAACTCCTAGCCGTTTTGATGACCCCTCTTTGCTACAACCAGAAACATAATGTGTGGGTGTATATTGTTTTCATTAAGATGAATTTGTTATGTGCTGTATTAATTGTGAATATTGTTAGATACTCAATATCTTCCCCTTACCTCCACTCCTCCGCTTGCTACAAATGTTAACCTAATTTGTATCTTCCCATACTTAGTAATCAATCATGCATATAAAATTTGTCAGTAAATGGGATCATTTGTGTATATACGCATATAATTTTTAGGTGTATATATACATACTTCTTAATTACTGCGTTTTCTTTTTAACAGAAAGCCCTCCTATGACACTGAAACAGATCCTAGTGAGGGACTGATGAATGTTCTAAAGAAAATTTATGAAGATGGAGATGATGATATGAAGCGAACCATTAATAAAGCCTGGGTACAATCAAGAGAGAAACAAGCCAAAGGAGAGACAGAATTCTGAGACTTTAAAGTTCTTTCAGGAATTGTGATGTGGAAATAATGATGTAAACTGGTCATTTTGTTCAAGAAAGATTAATATTTGCATTCTCGTGAAATGTAAAGAAGCAAGTCTTGCCTAATGAAAATGCCATATTGTGTGTTTTTGTTCAGCTAGGAGGTGGGGAAGAAAATGTTACCGCTTGTTAAGTTCTTGACATCAGTTCTCACCAATGTAAGAACAAGTAAATAAAACTTGAATTTTTTCAGAAAATGCAAATTTGTATTTGTGCTTCAAAGTTGCTATAGAGACATTAATTTCTTTTCTGTTAGCAGCTTAAGTAATACATATACCATGCATAACAATGTCCTAATGATCCAATCACAAATGTTTTTCTCTGGGTTTAGATACAGCTTTTTATGAATAAATTGAAACTAAATCTGATTTTGACAAGAATGAACAAATATCTTTGTATAGTACCAATTAGTAAGTTTTGCCATGGATCAGATAGCTTACAAAAAGCAATAACCATAAGCTAAAAACAAATGTAAAAATCCATCTTTTCTATTTTCAGTGAAGTTAGGTGTTTATTCAGTGGAATATCTTTACTATCTGTTTATGCAGGAAAAGTTAGGCTTTGGGGGAGAAATGGTTTATTTTAGAGGGAATTGCTGCTCCTAAAAACAAGAAGAAGAGCAAAAAACCTATGATCTCCATAACTATGTTATATTGGAGGTATTTGCCAATGCAACTGAGGAATAAGAGAAAACAAACACACAGAGGAGATCCAAGAGGAGATTAGCCAAGACTACTATAATGAGAGAATTTGGTATAAGTGGTAGAATAAAATTTATTAGGTAGCATTTAAAATGAATAAACAGCCTATATAGGCTAGTTGTTAATACTACTGAACATGTTAGTAAAACTATAATTAAAGCTGTGATGATGACACATGAATAAACAGACCAATGGAACAGAATAGAAAAAGACCCAAGGCGGAAGTTGTATTGAGCTTCACTTTATTGCGCTTCACAGGTGTTGCATTATTTACAAATCGAAGGCAAGACCCTCCACCAGCAAAAAGATTACAACTCGCTTTATTGCGATACTCAATTTATTTCAGTGGTCTGGAACTTCACCTGCAATATCTCCAAGGTATGCCTCTAATAGCATTTTAACAAGGGGCAGAGATGGGCTTTTATTGAGATAACCAAAAATAACCATATGCATACATTGCAAATAGATGAAAGCTAATATATATGTGAAGCCATATGAGTACTGGAAGACAAGGATAGAACTCCTTTATTACCTAAGAGTGAGGGAAACCTATACTATGTGACTTAAAATCTAGCAGTAATAAGCCTAAATATTGGTTAATTTTAACTACGTAGTAAATGTTTACATAGCCAAAAATATCCCACAATAAAAAATACATGATGTGTCAAGAAGATTCCAAAATTAAGAAATTGTTGTTCACAGAAAAAGAAATGCAAGTGAACTTCAACATAACAAGATGCCCACCTTGTTCAGAAGAGAAATTTAAAAATACTTTTATTGGGAAAACCCAAAGTTGAGCATACTGATTGTTGAGGGTATGGGAAAATTCATATAAGGGAATGGAATCAAAATGATGAGAAGGTTAAAACTTGTGTAGAAGGACAGTTGGTAATCTCTACCAGAATTACATGTGCATTTATCATCTGGCTCACAATTCTAGGCTCTTTCCCCAAAGGCAACTGGCCAGAATTTGGAATAGGTGCAAAAGATTGGAAACACCCAAATGTCAGTTAATAGATGACTAGCTGAATAAACTATGGTACATTCACACGGGGAGTACTTAGAGTCACAAAAAGAAATGAAGATTATTTCTGTACACTGGTGTGTTGAATAATTACCAGCATACAGTAAGTGGAAAGGCAAAGTGCAGAACGCCGTTTGTGGTGTACTAGCAGTACTTACCTGCCTTAGTGTTAGAATGGGTGGAAATGTGAATGCACATACATACATGTATTTGCTTGTACAGTGGGGCCTTGACTTACGAGTTTAATTCGTTCCGAGACCGAGCTCGTTAAGGAGCTCGTTAACTCAAATTACTTTATCAACTCAATGCAAAAAATCGGCTGAGAGACAGCTGGTATCTCAAAAAACTCGTTAGTCGGGATACTCGTAAGTCAAGGCCCCGCTGTATTTCAAAAAGAAACGAAGAGTAAGCCCAAAATAATAAAAACGGTAAATAATGAGAAAAGAGAGACAAGATGGAAGCAGTATTTATGTGAATATACCATTTTCTTTAGTTTTGGTTTTAGAACCATCTAAAATTTAATTTAAAAGCCAAATAAAAACCCTAAAATTTGGGAAAAAACACCTAATGCATGTCAGGTTATAAATGCATGTTACTTTCAAATGACTTTAGAACATGGTATTTTGACTGTCCATCACTAGTGAGATAGTGAAACTAGACTGATATGATGAGGAGCTAAGGTTTTTATAAGTATAAAATCAATATAAACTATTTTTATCTTGAAAAAGTATCCATTTTTTTGCAAGTCTCACCAATAGAGCCTAAAAGTTTACAGCAATGATAATTCAGAATTCATTAGTAATGAGTAGCACCCCAAGTACACACCATTTCCTACTAACAGGACCCGGGATGCAAAAAAACTGTGCCCACCTGGTGTGGCTCAGTGGTTGAGCTTCGACCCATGAACCAGGAGGAGGTCACGGTTTGATTCCTGGTCAGGGCACATGCCTATGTTGTGGGCTCGATTCCCAGTGTGGGGCATGCAGGAGGCAGCCGATCAATGATTCTCTCTCATCATTGATGTTTCTATCTCCCCTTCTCCCTTCCTCTCTCTGAAATTAATAACATTTTTTTAAAAATTGTCTGAGACAGGAAATATAAAGGTAAGCCTGGGTTATCTTATGCTAGAAAGTGAGGGAAGATCATATATCCTATATCAAGTCAACAGGATAAAGGACCCAATCGTGGGAGTATAAGGGGCAGTGGAAGGATTAATTTGAGTCAAAATAATGTCTGGAGTGGACTGAAAATCTACAAGTTTGGGATAGTGAAAGATTATTTGCTACCTTTGGAAGTTGCTAGAGCATCAATTCATTTACTCTGAAAATTGATAGAAAATTATGCATTTATCTGGTCTTTATTGTAAGTAAAATATTTCAGAATAAAAAATTGATGATAAAGGAAAGTTCCTACAAATTGCAGCTAATGCAGAAAAAGTGATGGTATTTAGAATATCACCATTGCAATCCTTAGTGATAGATGATAGGTTAATAAATGATGAACTTTAAATGTAGGGGTCAGGCTGAGCCCCCTGATGAATTATCACTAAAAGTTGGACAACCAGGTATGTGCCTTCTGATGTGATGTAAGAGTACACAACACACTTGTGAAAATTCATTTCTAAAAAATTGGACCTGTCTAGTAAGCCTTTAGATGTAACAACCAGTTTATAGGAAAGACGGGAATAAGTTAAAGGACACATGAAGAAGCCAACAGCCCAATGTTAGACACTACAGTACAAATAACCTGGCTCCTCCAAATGAAAGACATGGAGAAAAAGGAGACAGAGCAACCAGATTTGGATTGCACTTGGATCCTGAGCCAAACAATAAAAGTCGGGGTGTGTCTTACCAGTGAATGCCAGAGATCAGCAAATGTGACGTTCTAGTTATAATTTGATTAATACTAGTTTCTAGTTGGGATTTGCTAGAGCATTCCAGTTTGTAAACTGGAAGATAAATTTAGGAAACATGAATCCAAGGTATACTGACAATTCCCTCTCATAACTTCATCTCCACCAAGTTCTTGACTCTTGCTATCCATCTGCACAGTAGACTTTGGGATGAAACAGGCCTCTCAAACAGTGCATGGCTGAGACCTGAACTTAGAGATCTTGTTTCTCTTAAACCCATTCTTTTCCCCCAGCTCTTCTATCTGGGAGTTGCCTTCTGTCATCTATCTAGTCACCCTTACCAGGAACCCAGAGAGCCCTTTTACTTCTTTTTTAAAAAAATATATTTTATTGATTTTTCACAGAGAGGAAGGGAGAGAGATAGAGAATTAGAAACATCGATGAGAGAGAAACATCGATCAGCTGCCTCCTGCACGCCCCCGACTGGGGATGTGCCCGCAACCCAGGTACATGCCCTTCACCGGAATCGAACCTGGGACCCCTCAGTCCGCAGGCTCTATCCACTGAGCCAAACCGGTTTCGGCCCTTTTACTTCTTAAATATAAGCAGTCTCTAAGTCTTACCCAGTTTTCTTTCTTAAATAATACTTAGATCTGTCCTGTCATCTCCTTTGTTAATAACACTACTTAGTTCAGGCACTTATCTACCTGAACAATTAAGACATTGTCCTGACCCATTATCTTGTATGGAGCCTTTTCCTCTCATGACTATCTCTACCACACAGCAGTAGAGCAAGCTGATGATGTCATTCCTTTGCTTAAAACTCCAATAACTGGTATTTAAATTCAGTCTTAACTCTTTGCCATATATGACATTTTCCATGGTATGGTCCTTGTTTTGCACTACATGTTTGATACACTGAAGTGACTAGTTTCACAGTTTGATGTGTCTAGCCCTTTGCTTGCACCATTCTGTCTGCAAAGAATCACATCCCTGGCCTCCTGATGTAAGTGCAGGTATCGGCTCCAGGAATACTGTCCCAACATTAAGTCAGTGCTGCCATACTGCTCTGCACGTTATCACCGGGCTGATCCACACTGTTACTGCTACTTTTACTCTTTTGCTACAGGTGAAATAAATATGAATATAGAGAATATATACTTTCAACAAAACTTTTCCTCTTTGCATAGATTTTTAGGGGCTTTGTTCTAAGGGTCCTTGAAGATGGAACAAGAAAACACTTAGTGCTTCAGCCATCATACAAAAATTGAGCATTAGCTAATCCAGACATCAGCTCTACCCTCCCACGTACTGTTTTTCTAACAGTGAACTAACAGAACAGTGAATGGTGCAGGTTAGGGAAGCCAGCCCAGCATTACAGATTGCCTGCCATAGGTGAGCTAGCTCCATGTCAAT